AGATTAAATCAAACTACTTTTTGTGAATGATTTTTAAACCTACTCTCTTAAATTAATTTGTTCCTAGACATTTCAAGCAGAAAGAAAATTCAAACAAAGTCTTTATTGTGTAGTTTCTTTATTATATTTTTTCATTTTCTCATTTTAATTAGGCCAGGCATATATGCTTGTTAAATTTATATCCTACTTGGGTTTTGTTAGAATGTAAAATACAAAGAGTAACAATATAATTGCTACACAAGTGAACAATGAGACGGGCACACAATACTCTCCAGAGCTTCAGGGTTTCATCTGGAATTCCTCACCTCAATGGGTGCCCTTAATTCTGGGAAAATGAACAATAAAGTTCTGGTTCTCCCAAAACCAGACGAAGGATAACGAATTTGACAAATATGCAAATCGAATTACTAACAAGTGAGCAATATGTGAAAAGAATTTCGTCCTTTCGCGCATGTTAATTAAAAAAGAACTGAACTAAACTATGCATGAAGGTATGTCAATGCATGCCACGAAACAAAAACTAATCAAAGGAAAAAATGTTTTCCAAAGGAATGTCTTTACTGCACACCGAAAAAAGTAAATATATTTTTATATATGAAATATTTAAAACGGAAGGAAAAAGTTTTTAATAAAAAGCAATTCGAAACATTTCTGCACTTTGACAGCAGCAACATGAAACTCAAAAACAGCAGCAGCAGCAGCCCTTGCAGCAACAGCGACAACTGCCACAGAGAGGAGCAAGCTCCAAGCGACGCAAGCCAGGATCCGGGGGAAATGGAGGTCCTGCCGGAGGAGGAGCAACAGCAACAGCAGGTTCTGGTCCTGTTGCGGGACCGGCAACAGTGCGGCGACAAGTTTCTTGGGGCCCGCCAATCGTGGCCGAAACGGATGTGGACTTGGCCAACAATGCAAACTCAAACTCAAGCTCCAGCAATGGTAATCGCAAGGCGGGCACCAAACAGAATGGCTACCATGGCGTCAATAGACGGGCCACAACGACCAGGAACTGATGGAAAGCGAAACGAATGCAGAAATATTTTGCCAAAAGAACCAAAAAAATATATATATATAAAAATATGTATAAAAGCATAAATATTTAGGCGAATTGATGGCAAGACAACAATAGCAACAAAAAACCCGAGCTGAATAAACAAAGCAGCAGGCAGCGTAGCAAGCCGAGTTGAGAGCCGAAAACAAAAGCAATTTGTATAAATAAAAGACAAAGTCAAAGTGCGACAGAGACAAAGGCAAAACAAATAATATAAATTGAAAAGAGGAAAGTCCTTGGATTGTTGTATAAAGAAAACTGTCTGCCCATCGACATGAATATTCCTCAAAAATGCGACAGAACGATAGAACTTTCTTTGCTTGCACATAAATTCTACAAATGCAAGCAATTTGGTTAAATATGTCATGCTTTGGACTTGGATTTTAAGACTTTGGTTTAATTACGATTTGAACGAAAATCGAAAATGGATACATTCTTTACAAAACCATAACTATGCTTAGAATTAGTTAGTTATATATCTATATTGATTCCATTTAAAAGTTAAGGTTAAAGTGAGGTTTATAAATTAAGAATCTTAGCATAGCTGTGAATCTACATAGCTTAAGCATTAAATTGAGAGTATTTTTGATAAGAAAACAAGAAAATATAAATAAAACAGGACTAGAATTTCCTGGCAAAAATCCTTTCTCAGCTCATAAACTTAAATTTAAATTGATACCTTTTAAACTTAAGTTGCAAATTGCTTTTGTACAATTTTTGATTTTTTGTTGTTGAGCGAAAACTTGCCTCCATTAAGTTTTAAGAATTGCACAACTTTCATTCCGTTTCCCTTTCTGCACTTTTCCTCCTCTTTGTTTTTTTGTAAATTTTCATTCTTTTGCCGTGTGATATACGAAGGTAATAAAAGTTCTTTGGGCAATGAAGCCAACTGAGGGCGAAATGAGAACACAACCTTAACTTGTTTCATATTAAACGATGAGAAATTACCCAGAATAACTCGCCCATGCATCAATTCATTTAAATGCGTTTATTAAAAAACTTTACCCCCGGACAAACTGCTGACGACACACCAGAGAAGCGGCAGCATCATCGAGATTGACGCCGCACAACAACGTGAAGGCGATGAAGTTGGAGAAGATGGAAAAAGTAAAGCGCACATAATGGCACTCCAATATAGTATGTGAGTGGGGTGGGGAAAAACAGGGAAAAATCTGGAGGAAAATGTGAGGAAAATGGGTACACATAGTGTGTGTTATGGGGCCAGAACAGAGAGGGGCTTTTATCGAGGGAAGTTGCTGGCCAACAGCTTGTTAGTGGCTTTGTTGGTCAGTACTTTTAACTAATGTGCTTTGTGCGACCATAGAAAATCTCAAGTACTCATACGCGCACACATGCACTGGATCTCTCACATATTTGATGTACTTAACGGGGACACTGGGAGAAAAGTATGAAACTAAAAGCTGGGGTTAAGGTTGACAATACGGGCAACCTTTTTTCGCATTTGCATACCCTTGCAGAGTATTGTAATTTTAGTCTGAAGTTTGCAACGCAGTAACGAAGGCATTTACGACCATATAAAGTATATATACTTATATATTATACTATATATTTATATTATATTATATATAATATTATATTATTATTGATCAGCATCAACAGCAGAGCCGATATAGCCACGTCCATCTGTCATTCAGTCCGATTCTACCCAAGCTAGTCTCTCACTTTTGAATGCATTTATGATATGTATAGATGAATATAACGAAAATAGACAGGTCTTCGTTGTTTTTTAACATAAATATACATAATTTATATTGTATTAATTATTAAAGAATCAATCTGCAATCTGCAAGGGTATACAAACATCGGCATGCCGAAGCTAGCTTTCTATCTTGTTAAACATATATTTTATACTACTATTATATCAAGAGAATGGAAGTGAAAGTTATGTAAACAAACTTCTGCACTTGTTTAACCTGTTTTTTAACAAAACAATCTATTTGTTATATGGCACATTACATATTCCCGATTTATTTGATTTAAATCAACTTAATTAGACCGTTTTTTAATTAAATTCATATATATAATAAGTAGATGTCGAAATACACATTATCTACCAGTTACTAATTAGAATTGATAAGAAAACTATAAAAAAGTGTATAGGTTAAATATAATATTTAATATTTTTTAATCATGATGAGAAAATAGTTTTTAATAGGCAAAGTGACTATAACTTTAATTAAAAAGCGGGAATCGAATAATACTCTAAACAAATTGTATATAAATCTTTCAAGTCACAGAATGAAATGTAATCCATTAGAACTCCAGACATGTTATTCCTTCTTATTATAACTTCAGACTTGTTATTCCTTCCGAATATAATTTCTCCCAGTGTAATCCTTCCCAAACTCCCCTCAGCTTGAAGGGTGCCAGCGTAACCGCAAAGTGTTTGTACGATGGGAAAAGGGAGCTCACACATATAGTCAGAGCTAGTCTGGCGCTGGGATTCCCTTGAGCTCCTTCAGTTTCGGCTGCTGCCTGCATAAAATAACCGCATAAAATGTCGTTAAGTATAACGAAATTGAGTCGGCACATAAATTCAGATTATGAGATTAAAATGTTGTGATTTTCGCACATAGGAGCTAGAGCCAGAGCCGGAGCAGGAGCCAGAGCTGGAGCTGGAGAAAAACACAACCCTTTTCATAATGAAACCCCAAAAGCGAACACCAAATATTCCGGATGGAAAATGCCCGGAATATAAGCATTGGTAGACCCCCTCCTCCGGTAGCCCCATCAAAAGTGGCAACAACATCAACAGCATTCAAGCCAATGTAATGAGTTTATATCGCCCTTTTGCCCTTAAGCATAAATTTATGAAAAAATAACAAAGGGCGTGGCACAGTGGGAAAGAATCCACAAATGAGATTATTTAAATTGAGAGAATCTAAGGTTGTAGATAAATATTTTTACTGCCAGGCCTTATAATGATTTATACAAGATTTTTAAGTAATACTTGTTTTTCTTGAATAATCATTTTTTAATCCGTGTGGGAAAAATGTGTCGAATATTATTTTGCAGGATTCTTAAACCAAATTAGGTTATTTTTAAAGAAACAATTTAATTAAGAGGTTGATTTCGAGGTCTCTATTCTAATTCTGAAACAGAATTCTATGTTAAAACCCCTAAAAAATTGGTTTGAGTTGATTATTATGGAAATATATTTTAAAATACTTTCTTTTATAAAGAAACAATTAATTTCAGATTTAGCAATACATTTGAAAGACTTTATTGATTTTTTAACAAAATGCTTACTCAAAAAGACTTGGAAAATATGTTTATAGTGATAAATTGAAAAATGAGTAATCAAAAGATATTTCAATCTCACCTCATTACAAAGAAATAATTCAATTGATATACAAACCTATTTTTCAAAGTACTTCTGTTACCTTTTTTGAATAAAATTTTTACTTAGAAACTAAAAAATCCATTGGAAGTGATATAGAAATTATTTAATTGAGATGTTGACATATATATCAAGTTATTTGTTGTCGTTTTTTGAATAAAATTCTCAGTTAAATTCAAAAATCCTAAAAGTGACAAAATCCATTCCAAACCACTGTGCTTCAGTCGAATAATAAAGAAGTTGCGGTTGTGGCCGGCGATCAAAGTCAAATATTTGGCTTGGCTGTTTACAAATTGGGTCAGCTGGTCATTTGTGCTGGCCGTGGGCCATACGGAGACCCCTCTTGACCGCCCCTGGCTGGCTGCTGTTTTCCAAACCCTTCTTAAAATGTAAAATTTTCCCAAAATAGAGTGAATCTCGGGAAAGGCTATCAGCTGTCGTGGCTTCATTATAACGCTAATTGCTGGCCAAAGGACGATGGCAAAAGGATTAGCATTATGAAAAGTGAGAAGAGAATCGATGAGACCGCAGAGGAGAATCGGAATGAGGCAGGACATGCGAGAACAGGACCATCTCTTGACTCATAAACAGTTTTGTTCGGACCTAATCTCTGGCTGTATATCCGGATTAGCGATTATTTTTACAACTTTTGCTGCACTTTTTAGGTAATGAATGGGATTACATTTTTTTAATCCAATGCCAGCCGTGAGCTATAAAAAATCTAGCCGAGAAAAAAAACAAAATTCAGGTCAGATCCGCCGATTGACCTGCGACCTATGGGTCTCATGAATGGGCAGGTCAGAAGAAAAAAATTGGGTATAAAATAGAGCTGAAATTCTGATGCAACCAGCAAACGCAGTTTAGCAATCCAACAGCCAAGATGTGCCAAATCCAGCAGAATAATCCTTCCCAGCCGGCCAAGGATTCAGCTCAAAATTCCGGGGATTCCCCGCCACGCTCTCCCACCGCCGCCTATGCCATGTTCCTGCACCGCGAGGAGCTGAGACGCCGTAAAGTCCACGTTTCTCGTGTTTCCGTGACTAAAATTCACCTGACCAGCGAATTGATAGCAAAAACCAAACAGAATATAAGGCAGTGCAGCTTCGAGGATCTGGAGATCCTGGCCCGCGAGACGCTCTTCAAGAAGAATCTACAAAGACATTTGCATTATCGGAAAATGCAATATCAGCTATGGATGATGAACAAAAAGAAGCTGGCAGCCAAGCAAACCAAATGAGAGAAGGGAAAATAAGTTAAATTAATATAAGAACAGCAAAAGTGATAAAAATAAGACTAGCTTTAGAAATTTAAAAATTGTAGAAATGGAATTAAATTAAATAATTGATTAAAACGAACATTTTAGTTGAGAATAAAAGAGTTTTTGGCGAAAAGTATAAAAAACTATATACAGATAAACATAATTCAAATGAAAATGTTGAATTCATATTTTCAATTTCTAATTTAATCTAAAGAATAAATACTTCCTTTCAAATATTTGAAATTGTAAAGGAAAATGAACTAAACTGAAATGGAAAATAGAGCTACAACTCTTTTACTTATCCGCTATCCTTTCGAATAAAATATCTACAATCCAACTAAAGATTTGAATCATAACTGAAACTTAAATTAAACTTCAGTCATTTGTTATGGCAAAGAAACAAGGAACAACGTAAATTTCCACTCACTTTCCCCCGGCAAAAGTGCAATTTTCCATTTAAATATTTGATTATGTGTCCGTTGTCCTTAGATACAGGAACCCCGGTAGCGGGGCCCGACCTGCACTTGTAATGGGTGTAAAAACAAATTTACACATGATTACCAGAAAACCCGGTCGGCAAAACTGCGAACATTTAATACAACTCAAACAAAATGGTGCGTTGCATAAATTTGAACAGGCAGCAACAGCAGCAGCAGCACCAACGCTCTTCTCGTTGGTTGTAGAAAAATTTTTGCCTTTTTAGACTACATAAATTTTAATTAAATGTCACTCATACGCCATGTACGCCGAGCGCAGACACTGCCTGTGTGAGTGTGAGTGCATTTGAGTGCTGAAGCTGAAGCTGAGTCTGTGTGTGAGTGTGAGTGTGAGTGTGAGTGAGTGTCTGAGGGGAGCCTGGCGACAAATGAATGCACATGGAAGTGGCGCACGAATTACAGTTTATTGAACAGCAGGAGCAGTAGCAGTAGCAGGAGAAGGAGCAAGGATAACGGCCAAAGGACAAGGGAGACTGGAGTGAAGCTCATCAAGAGCGCAGCTCAGAAACAAAAACGGGACACCAAGAACGAGCTGGGAATATTTAAAATTTAAGTAGCACTTGGCTAAGAATACTTTTCCGCGGATATTTTTTAAAAATTTAAGCGGGAAGATGTCCTTTATTATTACACAAGAGATAATTAAATGAAAACAAGAAAGGAAGCTAACTTCGGCACGCCGAAGTTTATATACCCTTGCAGATAGAACTTCTATGAATAAAAAACCATACAATATAAATGATATATATTTGTGTTAAAAAACAGTGAAGTAATACCTGCTTTCATTGTATTCACCTATACATATTATATTTGCAGTTTTACTTTCAAAGATTTGCATTTTTCCTCTACATCAAACGATCGTTTGTATGGCACCTATATGATATAATAGACCGATTTTCATGAAATTTAATGCAAAATTGTAGAGTATAGTAAAATGGCTATATCTCAAATTTGATCCAATTCTATTGAAAACTGAAAAAGTTAAAAATTTATTTGTAAAAATTTTCCGATCATTCCTATGGCAGCTATATGATATAGTCGTCCGATCCGGCCCGTTCCGACATATATACGAGTGAGAGTATATAGAAGGCTAACTACAAAGTTTCATTCAGATAGCTTCAAAACTGAGAGACTAGTTTGCGTAGAAACGGACAGACGGACAGACGGACAGACGGACAGAAGGACAGACGGACAGACGGACAGACGGACAGACGGACAGACGGACATGGCTAGATCTACTCGGCTGTTGATCCTGATCAAGAATATATATACTTTATACAGTCGGAGGTGCCTCCTTCACTGCGTTGCAAACTTCTGACTGAAATTATAATACCCTGCAAGGGTATAAAAAGGTGATGAGAATTTAAAGTTCAGGTTAGAAAAGTCTTTTAATTTAGATAACAAGATTGAAAGATACAAGGATAGATAATTTGGAAATCAACAAAAGAATAAGTAAACTAAAAAAAGCTACTTAACTTTTATTTGAATTCAAAATAAATAGGTTCTAAGATGTTATTATAATATTTTTACATATATATCAATTAAATTTAATGGTATTTTACATATTTAATTTTCACTACTTGAGTGAGATATAAATATAATATAGAAGACATATTAACGATTTCATTTTTACTGCTTAAATAAAATATTAATATCTCCTTAAACAAGTTTTATCAATTGAATTTTCACGGTCTAAATGAGCTAATTATTATTATTAGAGATGATATTTTAATTATTGTATTTTTATTGTTTATATTACATATAAATTTACTAAAGAGGATATTGTTACGAATTAAATTTTATTGCTTAAACAAAATACAATTATTTATTGAACTTGCATTGCCTTCGTTGCTTAAATGAAATATGAATATATTAAAAATATTAAAGATTTAATTTCCACCACTTGAATAAACTATAAACTTATTAGAGATGATATTTTATTGATTGAATTTCCATCCCCTAATAGATACATAAAAATATATTGCAAAAAAACATTTTAACGATGGAGTTTTCACTGCTAAAACAAAGCATTAATTATAGAAGTTCTTTTAGCAGTTAAATTTTTATTCCCAAATTTACATTTTATTAAGTTATTGAACATAATTTCTATTCTACACCGAACATCCACTCCAATCCAATTACAAAAAATTCAAAGTCAGCAGCCAATCGCCGTGGTTGGTTTACCAGCTTGCTCTAATTATTTTTCTGCTGATTTTTTATTCGCATTTTTGTTTTTTGCGTTTCTAGTTCCGTTTTGTTGGTTTCCAGTGGTGGTGGCATTTTCCTTTTCCCTGCATTTCCCTCATACAACTTTTATAGCATGCATTATTCATGTTCTACAACAATTGGCTTGGTCCGCCAGAGGATGATGGTGCTTCCTTCCCTTGAATTGGCATGACCATTCCCAGGGCTTAATGAAAAGCCATCATGGCCTTAACATCATCTTTCGCTGCCATTTGGCACTTGAAACTTTTTCAATAATTTTAACATACGTATGTATGCTTTCTCTTTCGGCATTCTTGATAAATTAACTCAAGTGCACAATGAAGTGTTTATTGTGCTGGAAAAAAGTTTTATTTTTGGCCGCCACGCTTAACTTGAGGCGTTGCCAGGAAATAAAAAGAAGGAAACGGAAGGAGATGTGTGTTTTATATATACATTCAATTTGGTCATAATCAGAGAGCTAGAGTTGGCTAAAATTTAGATATTATTTATTATAGTAATAATACTAAGAGGTTGTAATACTATTTATATCTATTTTGCTCTTTAAAGTAGCTTTATTTTATTAATAAAGAAAATGTTTTCTTGCATTATTAATGCCCTTAGTTTCTGTAATGCTACATTATATTAATTGTAGCTTTTAATTATTTATTTTAATTTTAAAAGAGTATGAATTTTGCGGAATATTTAAATTGATAAATTCCATAAAAATTTCAATTTTTCCTGTAAAAATACCCAACTTCCACAGAAAAGCCAAAATGTCAGTACTATAAGGTATAGGCAGCGCAGAACGTAATCGTCATGGTGGCTTAAAGCAATTTGTTATTAATTTCCGCGTTGAAAAGTTGAAAAAAAGAGCAGCCAACTTTTTCCCTCTTTTGTTTCGGCTCTTTTTCGCATTTTCCCCCTCTCGTGTTCCGCAGCTTTTCCTTTACCTCGCTGTCTCAATGCCACTTGGCATTCATTTAATGCGAAAAGTTATTGTCGTTTTTTTTCTCTCTCTGGCGTTCTTGTCGCTGTTGTTGTTGTTTGTTTTTCGCTTTGTGTGTGTGTGTTGCCACATTAAAACATGGCCCATAATGGTTAACAAGGCATTTGCTTGTTGACCATCGACCAAATGAGCAGCAAAACTTGTGCTTACATTGTTCAACATGTGTAATAAATATATTTCCACCGCGTGCCGCCGCCACAGCCTCTTCCGCCATCCTTTTCAAAGTGCGTTTCTGTATGTTTACGTGTGACATTGTATCAGTAGTTGTTGCACAGTAAATAAATATGAGTGGGTTTAAGAAGGCATTTAATTGATATTTTTTAAGAAAAAAATATGTCTAAGGATTAATAATAACTTGCAGATTATTTTAAATAGTTGTAATAAACTTTTTAAGAACCATTTAGTCTTAGGGGAAAGGTAAGGCCAAATATGCCATGTCCGTTTCTCCGTCAGTCTGTCCGTCAGTCTATGCGCAACTCTGTCCGTCCTTATATCATATAAGACAAAAGTTTTAATAGACTAAAAGAGGTGTAGATTCCAAATATGGAGAAATTATTCCTACTCAAAATATATTTATTTAAATAATGTTAGTTCACAATTTTGTCAAAAAAATACTTTAAAGTAATTTAAGAAAAGCTTTATGTTTCTCTAAAGTTTTATTTCAATTTAATGAAAAATGAAAAACAAAAAATCAGAAACTTCTTTGCCATTTCATAAATAGTAAAACATAACTTCCTTAAAATTATATTTCAATAATATTTTGTATAATATAATTTAAAGAAGCATATACATCATATATATATCAATAATATAATGATATTAATAAATAATAAAAGAAAATATTCATTCTGAAAGGAATATATCTCTGAAAAGAATATATATATAAGAAATATCAGCAGATTAAATTCGCAACATAAATATCCCATTTATTACATTTTTACCTTATAGGTCTCTCCATTTATTTGTATTTTATTTATTTTCCCCCTGTGCACCGCGCCAGGTAATAAATTGTAATATTCCTGCCTAGGTATGATGATGACTTGGCAAAAGTATGAAATACAAACATATTTGAAATGCAAGCGCCGCGGCGTATGCAATGAAAAATGTCAGAACAACAATGTTAATATGGCTGCCAAAGGATTCAAGGGAGAGCTGCTCGGTGGGCGTACTTAGACAGGGGGCGTGGCACATGGGGGGGAAGCACCCAGAAGTGTGTCAGTGTGTGTGCGCTGCATGAAAGTGCAAGTTTTGCTTATTGTTTCTGCCTGCTGCCGCTGCTGCTGCTGCTCCGCCAGTAACCTTCAGCCAAGAACAATAAAATTGCGCAAAAAAAAAAGAAATATAGGAAAAATGAAACTGAAATGGGTCCCTTGCAAATGGAAAACTATGAAAAGCGAAGGCAACAGTGGCTGCCAGGGAAAAATAACATTTTAAATGCGTTCTCCATACCCAAATTGCATAAAGTTTGACAGCTTTGTGATAAGCTTGGATCAGGATTAAAGGTTTAAAGTTACATTTTTTGGTGACATTTTATAGTATTTTATAACAATTAACTGCTTATTAAATTTGTGTTTGCAAAGTATTAAAAGTGCAGTAAGTTTAATGACTTCGAATTAGGTATTTTTTGTTTTTTAAATAAGTATATCAATTGTAGAGCCTAAAAAATGAGATCTGTAAAAAAAACTTACCATTTAAATGATGAATGTTGAATATCAATTTCTATTTTTACATTTCCCTTAATCATAAGAGTATTCCCCATTCGGTGAACCACAAACTCATCTCCTTTTCTATTCTCCAAATGGGTGTATGTAAATGCATTGCAGCCGCTTGGCCAACACACATTTGCACTTGACTGAAACGCGTTAGCTGCTTTCTTTGCAGTTGATTTTTGGGCTGGTGCCACGCCTCCTCTGCTCGAGGGAATCTAGAGAGGAGGCGGTATTTTGGGGATCGGGGGACTTGAGGATTTTAGATTTTCGGTAGATGTGGCACAAGGTATGAGAGCCATGCGGCTGCCACACAAAATGCTTGAAAGTGACTGGCGGGTTTCGTGTTACCAAGACACCATCCGGGGGACCACCAGTGCGTCATTGTTGGCCAAGAGACCTTGGGGCCAAGCTTAACGGGCAGCAGAATGGATTTTGGACCAGGTCCAGGCATGCTCCAGAATCCAGAATGCAACACAAAGGCACTCTCACACAAGATGCACTTGCAAAGTTAACCTACACTTGGGTTGAAAATGTTTAAATAGCTCTTAAACTTATGGTTAATTTTGATACAAATTTTATTTGCCTAAATGTTAGATTTATATTATGAAATAAGAATGAAAATAACATGGAATAATATGAAATTAAATACAGCACAACTTTTGTTTAAGGCAGAAGGCTCAGCATAATTTAATTTAAGTTGACTATATTAGATTCTGAGAGTTCCAACTTTAATTGATTAACTTTTTATGAGTTGTGAACTAAGAGCAGATGATAATTATAAATATTTTGCATATATTTTTAAAAGCAAAGATTTATTATTCTCCTGATATAAATAAATATGAAAACCTTAAAAGTTCATTTGACATTCATAACGAACTAGAAAATGTCCTTTTAACTTCAGCTAATAAACATTTATAAGTATAATAAACTAAACACTAAACACTCCACTTGCTTTGGCTTTTAGGAAGTGCATTTAATGCTAAAATTTTAAAGGTGTATGTACGCTTTGATGTCAGGTCCTGTGCATTTATATTAACAACATAAACTGCCAAGTCACGACAGGTGCCAAAATCCAAAAGAAAACAATGCGAACTAAAAAACACTTTTCCCTTGACCAAAAGCAGCTTGAATAACCCAAAGTACCCCCTTCTGCCTCCCTCTCTCTCTCTCTCTCTGTGTCTCAAAGCCTTTAAATAATTATACTTTATCTCTTCTCTGGACACGAACACCCCACACAACCTCTCTCACTGTCCATTGAACGTCACTTTGACTAAAGCCAAATAGAATTAAACCCTGAAAATATTTGATCTAAATTCCCGGACCTTTCCACGCTCCACCAAACTCCATGTCCCGGTGCCATTTTCATGCCCAATCTCCCCCAGAAAGCGCAGCAGCAGCAGCAGCAGCAGCAGCCGCAGCAACGACACAAATCCCGCCACAAAGCGCCCGATGACACAGAGAATCCCAAGCAGCCAGAGCTTCAGTCCTTTGATGTAGCCACAAATGCCGATGCGCGAACAGGGTCCACCCTGCCTCAAACACCCCCAAATTCACAGCGGATGGTGGAAAATGTACCGCCCCCATTGGTGCCTCAGCGACGACAACGGGCATGCCCTCCAATGCAGCCACCGATTTTCCTGGAAAACTCACTGCAGCAGCGTCAGTTCGCGAATCCAATTAGTTACTTGGGAGGACCGCGACTCCAGCCGCGCAGTAATCGCACCAGCATCGACTCGATATTATCGCTGGATTAGCGGCCCAGCCGGTTTTCCACCGCCCCAATCCTCTCCCAGACAAGTCACAAACCGTCAACTGGCGGGCGGAAAATGGAGGAAAATGGGAAGCCACCCATCACCCTCCCAGTGGATTCTGTTCCTGTTTGCCACAAACCTCAAGCTATGAAGTCTAGTTGCAGTTAGAAAGTTTGAAACCAATGTTAGATAGAAAAAGTTGACAAAATAAATAAATCAAATTGTTAAGCGTGATTTTTTGTGTTGGTATTTATAATTGAAATGTTACACATTTAATGGTAAGTATTAAATTAGGTATTCTATATATATAAATTATAAATAAAAAATCTACTTTCCATACAAAGTGAAATTATTTGACTATAGCTTAAAAGGAGGATTGTAAAATGGATAGAAAATATTATAATTATTGATTAAAATTGGTTATTTTTAATGTAACCGCGTAGACCTCCCAAAGTTAGCTTAATTTGTCTTCCCTTAATACTATTTATAAATTATTACCCATTTCTTGGAAGAGTTTTATATAGAATACTAATACAATATTCATTCTTTACTACTATTTTATAAAATTTTACTTAAACTTTAAGCATTATGTGATTCAATAAAGGTGATCCATACATAATTCGCGTTCTTAATCGAATTAGAACCCAAACCTATATATGGTTCCGTGTAAATAAACTCCGTCACCAGTCTCAAAATGAAGTACTTGAGTAAGTGAAATATTTTTTAAAGAACTATAGTTTCGGAAAGATAATACCAAGTACACGTAGTTCTTATATTTCTAGCCACTTCAGTGGCAGGACTACGTTACAAGTTCCATCGTTATTTAGACCGATCTCATAAACATGAAAACCTAATTGGATCCACCTACTCGGCGGAGATGGCCTTAGGAATGCTATTCGTTGGGGCCGCAGGAGAGACGGCCGAAGAACTGTGGCGTGCTCTGAATTTAACCAATAGAGAGGATGTATTGGGAAAGTTCGAGGACCTTCAAAACATGCAACCTTACACCATCGAAATGTTTAATTACCTGCTCGTTAATAGGAAATATAAGGTAAAAGAGACATATATCAAGCAGGTGGCGCAGTACTTTGAGGGCGTAATCGATTCTGTGGACATGAACAACTCAAAAGCGGTGACTTCTAAAGTTAACAAGTGGGTAAATGACCGAACTCATGGCACGGTCAAAAAACTAATGTCATATGTAGGACCTGATGTCAATGGAATACTGCTAAATGTGCTTTATTTCAAAGGCCAATGGGCGAAGAAGTTCGATCCGTCACTGACCCAACAAGATTATTTCCATGTGTCGGACACAAAAAGTATCCCTGTCCAGATGATGGTTATGCGAGGCAGGTTCCGGGCGGAACGATTCTTCCATTTGGGTATCAAAGTTATTGAGTTGCCGTTCATGAAGGATGGCCTTGTGATGCTCATCTATTTGCCCACCAGTAGCGACGGCCTCGACGAACTGGAGGAAAAAATTCAGGAATCCACGTTGCCTCAAGAACGTCAGTTGGTAAACCTGAGGCTTCCAAAGTTCAGAATCTCAACTAAAACCAAACTAAAGTCGATTCTCAATCAGGTGGGTTCGATATATGAGCAAATATATAACTCAACACATTAATTTCTTATTATTCTATGCAGTTTGGCATCCAAAACTTATTTTCGCCTGCAGCGAATCTAACTGGCATCGTAGAAGATAGCAATTTCCACATCGATGATGTTATACAGGACGCATTCATTGAGATCAATGAGGATGGCATTGAGACAGCGGCTGTCACAGGTAAAATACTTTTGAAATGATCAAATTGTCTTATTTTAATATATAATATAATTATAAAATATTATTTCCTTTATTTTCATTTAACCCGCAGGGGGACGGTCCCCAGCGATGGACTTTACAGCCAATATTCCATTTGCCTACGTTATTCGGGATAGTCACGAAATTTACTTTCAGGGTCATGTCATCGAGCCTGAGTGGGATATATGAACGACCCGGTTTAACATTTAAAATTTAATACACAAATAAAATTACTAGTGTATAAATTCTCCTGTGACTTATTTAATTAATCCCAGGAACAGATTCCCAAATTTGCATTATGTATTATTACACACAAGTCCAAAGTCACAAATTATAAAATAGCCCCCTAAATAGGAGAAAAGTCCTTATGTATGGTATAAATATTTATTTGGATTAGATTATTTTCTGCATGAATCTCCACAAGGGATCACTTAGACATAGGTAGATCCTCCTTTATTTGTTTTACTTTTTTCTTAACTTACACAATTACAATAAATTGTATTTTAGCTTACGAAGAGTTCAAGTCCCGCCCACTGATTACTGATTTTCCCCCAGGAAAATCGATGGAATACGGCTCTCGACTGATCGATCGTGTGGAGATGTGTGGATAGTTGTGCTGGATTGACATGCTAACTGCGATGATGATGATGGGATACATAGACGGGACATGGCTCAGGGGACGTGTTCGGGAGACATGATTGAAGGTGGGGGAGAGTTCAAGGGTCGCTAGGTAAAATCCGGCGGCTTGTACTTCGGCGGTCGCTTAATTGGCTTCTATAACCAATTGCGGCCGCCACGTCATATGTTGTTCTCCTTGGCACCCTTGGCCCCGGAACCGGAATTCGATCCGGTGCCGGATCCTGCATTGGTTGTCGCTCCCGCATCGTTGTCGCTCTTGTTGTTGCTATTATTGTTGCTGTTGCTGTTCGTATTTGAGGCAGTGGATTCCTCGCCATCGGCTCCATCTCCTGAAAAAATCGTAAGAATTGTTAGAGCCTGTATTTCTGTATATCAATGCGTTGTCACTCACCCTTCTCCTTCTCGTCCTTTATTTCGCTGGACGTCTCTGAGGAAGCCTTGTTGCTGTTAGTATCCTTGTCCAGACGCGGCCTCTTCCTCTGGCCCTTGTACGTCCTGTTGTCCCGGCGTCCACCCTCGCCCTCATCCTCGGAGTCGGAGTATTCGTTCTCTGGCACAATGCGCTTATCCTTGTCGCTCTGTGGCAGTCGTTCATCTTTGTCGACCTTATCCTCGTCCTCAGACTCATCGTTAATGGCGTCCTCGGGGATCGCTTGGATCTGAACGCCCGGGGCGTGGGGCAGCATTCGCAGGTTCTCGAACAGACGGTTCTTGATCTTCTCCAGGTACTCGGACGTGTTCTGATTCGTCATATTACTGGGACTGATGTGCAGCTTAAAGTCGGGCCCAAAGTACTCGAAATAATCGTTGTAGGGCAGTTCGTTGGCTATTTCCACGGCCAATGCCACCGATGTTTCGTACGTCCAGCAGCGGGAGACGTTGCGGATGGTATAGCCACCACCGCCGACCATGAGGAATGGCAGGTTATACTTCTTCACAAACTCCACACACTTGCCATGACCCTTGACGGTCAGATTGAAGCAACCCAACCGATCGCCGGTAAGGGAATCGGCGCCACACTGCAGCACCACGGCCGCCGGCTGGAATGTCTCCATCACCTTGCTGATAATGGGCACGAAGATGCTCTCATAGGCATCGTCATCCATGCCATCGCGCAGAGGTATATTCACGGCATAATACTTTCCCTTGCCGGCGCCAATGTCCCGGAGGTCGCCAGTGCCCGGAAAATACTCGCCGTACTTGTGGAAGCTCACGGTCATCACACGATCAGTGGTGTAGAATGCCTCCTCAACGCCATCGCCATGATGGACATCAATGTCGATGTACAGAACACGCTGGTGATATTTCAGCAACTCCAAAATACCCAAAACGATGTCGTTGACATAGCAAAAACCGGAGGCCTCCGATTTCTTGGCATGATGCAGGCCGCCGCCCCAATTGATGCATATCTCTGAGGCCTGTTTGTTTAATTTGACAGCGGCTGCCACGGATCCGCCGGCGGAGAGCTGACAGAACTCGTAGAGTCCATCGAAGACGGGACAGTCCTCGCCCACATTGAAGCGCTGCATCTGCTTGTTGTACTCCGAAATGTTGTCCGGACGGATGGAGCGCAAGAACCGGACGTACTCGTCCGAATGGAACTTGGTCATCTCATCGGCGGTTGCTTTATGCGGTCGCTGGAATAGCAAGTTGTTTTTTAACAATAACAAATTGATTTCAAATACTAATTACTTACGTAAATCTCCATTTTCCGGTAGAGCCCATAGTTTAGGAGCAGATTGTGGGTCATGCGTATGCGGTGTGGCTTCATGGGATGACCCTGGCCGTAGTAGTAGTTTCCTATGTCACCTGCGGATCAAAAATCACAAGTATTAGCCGCTTGAGAAAAAAAATAAAACAATTATTTGCCACGCTTTGCAAAATATACATTTTACGGCCACTGTCGGCGCGGCGTCTCAGCGAGTAGTTCACTTTGCCCGAACGACCGCAGCGGTCGCACTTTCGCCCGGAACGAAAGAAACAAAAACAAAAGGGTGGCGAAGAGACACCTACAGGTACATACAAGCACACGCACACAGCGGCAATGCGGCCGTTCACGAAAAGTGCGCTGTGGTAACAACGCGCGCGTACAGTCGGCATAAAACTTGAAATCTGCGAAAATGCCATTATCTGACGCCGACCGGATGCGGAAAAAAGGAAAACCTGGCTTACAAACAATTAGTGTTGTCATGAAGGCATTATTAACCATATCGCGGTGTTCTTGCACGTTATATTTTATCAAAACTTACTATCATAATAGTAGCAGACGCGTTTTTTGCTGTGAGACTGCATTTTGTGGTGCTTTGCTGGATCTCAAGAACTTTAAAATCGATCCGGCGGGTTCTTGGAACCTTGATTGTGTCTTGGGGCAGTTGGACCACTCGGGAGATCCGCTTTTTTGGCGCGGTTCCGCCTTTTGATAATTTAGACAGGAACAATTCGCGCACAAGATAAATGATGGTACTTTAGGGTTGTTGAATTTTATAAAAATATCGATATTTTTATAATTTTTTATATTTATATCGATGTTGCGATATTTTCTTGAATATTGTTGATATCAATGAAGGTAGCAGTAAAAAAAACTTGCTGTTATTTTACACGTCTAGAATATAATATTACATGTTTACAGATACATGGGGTAGACTCCTCGTTTTTGGGGCCGATTTTCGTTTTTGGGGTAGAATTCTCTACATGGAGTAGAAATCTCATGTCGGAAGTAAAACACATTAACCTGTCGGGTGTTGGGTTGTTAAAAATATATCAAAATACCAATATATCGATCTTGTTTTTGTTTGTTTTTTTTTTATATATGTATTTTGTTTCTGGCCACTCTGATTTCCGAAATTTGTATTTAGCTTTTACATTTTACACGTCTGTAAGCAATTTTACACGTTAAATGACAATATATCGATATTGCCCAAATATCGAGGTTAGAGGTTGTGCATTTGGATGTCAGAGCAATTCAATGTATCGATATTTTTTGGTGACAAAAATACTAACTAACATCGTTATAAATTATTTTTTTAAATGTTGCTCATGTTTTAATATTAGGATTTTTTGTTTCCTTTGTAGAAGTTCCGTTAAATTTGTTGTTATAACGAAACTATCGCTATGATTCTATCTTTACCATTAATTTTATGATTTCATGCAGTATTTTAGTAATTTGTGCTAATTCATTTTTAACGTTAATGTTTATTTTTCTTCTATTATAATATATAATATTTTAGACATTCCGCTAAATATATCAACCAAGCGAAAATAATATTAATAAATACTGCGATGTATTTTGAAATTTGATAATTTTGTCCTTTAGGAAATACACAAAATATTTTTGTTGAAAACAAATTGTATCACAAATAAAGATATGTTTTTTCGACTAATACATACTTAACACATTTTATTTAAGTTATTCTTTTAATATAAGTGATATACGTTCCGATTTTTTAAAAATGTTCACAATAAAGCCCAGTTGGCTTCCTTGTATATTTATATACAATATTTCAAACATTCAGCATTTGTTTCACAACTAAATATATCAGTCTAGTGAAAATAATAATAATAAATAATTCGAAATATTTTGGCGATATATTTGGAAATTTGATAATTTTGTCCCATAGGAAATACCAAAAATATTATTGTTGAGAACAAAATTTTTTTGTTTCCTTTGTTCAAGTTCCGTTAAATTTTTTGTTAAAACAAAATTATCGCTATGATTTTATCTGTACCATTAAATTTATGATTTCATGCAGTATTTTAGAAATTTTTTGCTTATTCATTTTATAATGTTAATGTTTATTTTTCTTGTATTATAATATATAATATTTTAAACATTCAGCTATATATATCGGCCAAGCGAAAATAATATTAATAAACACTGCGATATATTTTGGCGATATATTTGAAAATTTGATAATTTTGTCCTATAGGAAATACCCAAAATATTTTTGTTGAAAACAAAATGTATATTTTTGTTGAAAACAAAATGTATCACAAATATAGATATATTAATGTTTTTCGACTAATACATACTTTTTTATTTATTTTAATTATTTTTTTTTATTTTATTTTATTTAAATTATTCTTTTAATATTAGTGATATACGTTCCGGTTTTTTTTTTTTTTTTTAATTTTCACAATGAAGCCCAGTTAGCTTTCTTGTATATTTATATACAATATTTCAAACATTCAGCATTTGTTTCACACCTAAATATATCAGTCTAGTGAAAATAATAATAATAAATAATTCGAAATATTTTGGCGATATATTTGGAAATTTGATAATTTTGTCCTATAGGAAATACCCAAAATATTTTTGTTGAAAACAAAATGTATCACAAATATAGATATATTCATGTTTTTCGACTAATACATACTTAACACAGTTTATTTAAATTATTCTTTTAATATTAGTGATATACGTTCCGATTTTTTTTTTTAATTTTCACAATGAAGCCCAGTTAGCTTTCTTGTATAATTATATTTAATATTTCAAACATTCAGCATTTGTTTGCTACACAACTAAATATATCAGTCTAGCGAAAATAATAATAATAATAAATGTGATTTATTTTGTCGATATATTTGTAAATTTGATAATTTTGTCCTATATGAAATATCCAAAATATTATTGTTGAGAACAAAATGTATAAAAAACATAAATAGATTCATGTTTTTCGACTGATACATATTTAACACAGTTTATTTAAGTTATTCTTTTAATATAAGTGATAAACGCTGCGATCTTTTACAAATTTTCACCAACGAATCCCAGTTCAAGCTGTATAGACTTAAAGAATATTCCAAGCATGTTAATTTATTCTTCTGTATTTTTATCTATAAAAATTTGTTATAAGGTTCTTAATCAAGAATTGAAAACACCATTCAATTGATCTATAATTTAAATGCCTTTTCTTCTTCCTCTCATTCTTAACTATGATCTTAATTTTTTCTCTTATTTATATTTTTTTAAGTGTTATACAGGCAATAAGACTAGACACAAACCTAGTGTGTGTCTCCAAAAATATACTGATTAATCGATTAAGGAACCCATCCCTGGTTAAAATCTGTGTGGGAAAGCCATTTGCGGAGAATTTAAAAACTTAAATGTCTTTTTATTGATTTGACGGTACTGAAAGAACATAAAAAGGTATTTTCGAACCAAGACTAGAAGCATAAAAGCCAATTTTTCACAACTTATCCAATGAGACTGTATATGGTACGACAAAAAATACCAAAAGTGTGACCGTAGGCTGGGCGATAAGAAACATCATCGAACGACGAAAAAAAGAGGAAGAGGGAGGACCATGAACACAAAAACAATCGGCGCTAAGCAATTCGGACGCATTTTCGCAGTTTTTCCAGCGTGGGTGTTTTTCCTCGGTCGGCGTTTTTCGGCGGCTTCTTGGTGAAGAGAAAAAAAAAAGAAAAAACAATTGTGCATGAAGGCAAAAAGTTAAAGTGCGAAAAGCTGAATTAAAAAGAATAAAAATTCAAAACGACGACGCGTAAGTTCAACTCCAACTGTAAATTCGTGTGTGTGAGTGCTGCCGACTGCTGGTGTGTGTGTTCAAAAAAAAAAAAAGAGAAAGAAGTTGCCAAGCAAATGGAGTTGCAGTAGGAAACACAAACAGAGTCGTCGCCCCTCTCTCTCGCTCGCTCACACACACTCGCACGCGAATGAAGAAGTGGAAAAATTAAAATCGAAAAAAAGTGACAAAGCGGAGTAACCAATAATAAGGAAAATGCCATACTAAATGAACCCGCACGCTGTTGAAATTAAATTAAAGTTGAATGGACAAATTAAATAATATCCTGCGCAGCTCTCTGTGTGATTTTTCTCTCTTTATCTTCCCCTCGCCAAACCAACGCCTCTCTGCAACTTTCTGTTACTTTTTGTTAAACTTCTTTCCCTTCATCTTTTTTTTCCCCTTTTGCTGTTGTTGTTCTTGTGCCCGCAGGATATGGAAAACTTTCTGCTGGTGTTAAATTGTAGTTTTTTTTTTATCCCAGTGTCTTTCCTCTTCTCGTTTATTCATCTTTTTCTTTCCAATTAACGACGAACTTCAGCGAAAAGCATAAGCGAAAAATATATATTTTATTTGTTGTTTGCAGACCGTGAATTAAAAACAACACCAACTACGGCGGTAGCCGCAACAGTAAATTCCGCGCTTTTAATAGCAATAAAAAAACCTACAAAGAAGCTGAAGTTCAGAACTTTTGATTTATTCTAATTAAATCTAAGGTAAGTGCATAAATAAAAGAAACCGGATTAGCTCCTTTTCATTCGCACCTCCTTGGCCAAGTACCGTTAAGAAGAGAAGCCAATGAACGCAAATAAGTAAACACAAAAACTAAAAAAAAAATAAGGAAAAATAAAACGGGAGAGCGAGCGAGAGCAAGAGATTTGCTCTCCCGCTGCATTTCTATTTATGCTTTAGCTGCTGATAACCATACAGTGAATCCTCGATACAAAATTAGGCAAAATAAAAATTACTTAAAATAAAATAAATGTACATTTATTACTATTTTATTATAACCCCTTATTAAATCAAGCAATTATATTAAATTTTACACTATTGAATCACTTAAATCATGGAGAATATTTAAATTTAGCAGCTTTCTATAACTTATAAAATTTAATAGAATGGAGTGTACACTTTAATTGGAGTTTACTGCAATTATTGGTCGTCTCGGCTGCTGTAAAAAGTCAAAGAGCATTTCTGGTTGTTGTTTTTGTTGTTAGTGCAATTGTCTTTAATTTGTTGTGAAGAGGAGGAGTGCTAGCAGGAGAGAGCGAGAGGAGGTAGAAAAAGAACGAGATGACGAAGAAGAGCGCAGAGCAGCAGGCGTCGGCGCAGCAGCTGCTGCTCTCGCCCTCTCTCTTTTGCTCCCGTTTCGTAGCTGTGCGCTATTTTCGGCATTTTTGTGCTTATTTATTTACCTTTTGGTGGCTTGTTTATTAATCTTCCTTCCCCCACCATATCCTTCTTCTACTCTCAATCGGTCCATGTGCTTTGAAGTTCAAGCCACAGAATTTGTTTCTGTGTTTTTGTTGATTCTCTGCTATTTTTGTAGCTTATCTGCTTCAACGGAGTTTTCCTCACTAAACGCCACTCCTCCTCCTTGGACCTTCCCCCTCTTTGCCAGGCAAAAACCCTTCAATTAACATTGCCGCCGTCTGTTTTCCGTTTTCATTTTTTCGGTGGCTCGTTCCCTTTTTTTCAGTTTTCTCCTTTTCCACTTTGCGGCAAGCCGATAAAGATAAAAACCACAAATAGTTTGCCTCACATTTTGTATTTACAGTGGAGCTTAGGATATGGGATATTTTACAAATACGGCTCACTTAATATAATTTTTTCCAGCTAAATGTTTTAATTTTTTTAATAAAACTTAATATTTCAATTTGTAAGATGAAAACTAATAGAAACTTTTTAAAATATAGAATCTATTTGTTTAAAATTTGTCATAAATTTTCACAATAAGAATTATAAGTATTACAAATACATTTTTATTTGAGTGTATAATAAACGAATCTAATTCACTTTGAGCACTGTATCTTTAACCCTTCGTATTTCATTGCTTCTTCTTTGCCGCCGTCGCCTTGCTCTCTTTAACCCTTGTTGGGTGAATGGGGGTCTTCTGTGGAGTTCCATTTAAGTGCAACTGAGCAATTATGCTTTTTGGCCTATCGACCCCTCTTTTGTGCTCCTCCCACTAGCCCCCTTTCATCTCCTCTTAAATCATTGCAAAATGGCAATCGCAAAATGCTCAAACAAGTAAATCTGCTTAACTCGACTAACGGCAAACTTGTTGAGATCTTTTCATTTTCTCTATTTTGCTCGCTGCTTCTCTTTTGTTGTTGTTGTTGTTGTTATTCGCATTTTCTATTTTGCACACAAAGCGCTTACAATGGCAAAAGGCAATCAAAGCGAGAAAGGGAATAGGAGCGAGGGAGAGGGGAAGTATTAAGCGTGGGAGGTGCAATCAGGAGAATCCAACAACAAAAAACCACTACAACAGCAGAAAACCGAATAAAAAAGTAGTCAAAGCAAAAGAAGTGGCGGAAGAAGAAGCAGCAGCAGCACAAGTAGAAAATTCAATTGTTCGCCACTCTCTTTTGGGCTCTTCCTTTGTGCTCTCTGCATGTGCCTGTGTGTGCGAGTGTGTGTTTTTGTCCACTTAGCCAGCAAACAATGAACAATTGATAAGGAACAACGGAAAGGAGAAGCGACAAAAAAAGAGGAGAAGGCGAGGAAAAGTGGAAAGTGCGTGGCAAGTGCGTTGAAAATAAAAAAAGAGAAATATTTGTAGCAGTGATAAAGCGTTTGGGAAAAAGATTAAGTTTTACCTGTTTTCCACATTCCTTGCGGTTTGATATAATTTCCTTAAATACTTCAAGGTTAAACACAAAAAAGCTCATAATATTTAACATAACATAAATAAATAATAACTTTAACAAATACAGCAAAATTAAAAGTTTTCTTGAAACACATTTAGATTTTCCATTCTACGTTTAAGGTTCTCCCATAGTGGTTGTTCATTCACAATAAAATTGAGATGTGGCCCAAATGTTTTTAACATTCTGAACAAACAGCGATTGGTGGCCAACATCAGTAGCTTGTGGCTTGAGCAGAGTTTTTCATTTCCACGCTCCGTCTGAACTGGAACCTCAGCGGCGGCTAATAGTTTTCCCTCTACTTTGATAAGGACCTTAAAAACCCAAGGTATATCCCTTTGAAGAATACCAAATGTATCTTTCTTTAGGGATCTCGCACAAATGCAAACGAGTCCTTGAAGGATCCACACCAATGGCTCACCACATTCCAGTGCCTGATTGAGTTTTGCCAGTTTATCGATTTCAAAAAGAGAATCGTACATATTGGGAATTACGGGAAAGCTTTTAAAGACATGTACCGAAATTAAAAAGAACTGTTTTCTAAAGTGATCTTTTAAATAACAAACGAAGGAATCAATAGGACGTCTTTGAGGTATCGAGTGACAACAGCATAATCCTTGAGGTCGTTTAGCCTCAGGTTTGATCAGTGGTCTAATTCCGGTTTTACGTTTCAGTAAGTCACAGATCTGCGCTCGAGGTGCAGTATCCAAACAGGAGTCCATTTGCTCTACAAAATCATTAATTATTTTATAAATAACTTCACGCAATTCTTCCCAATAATCATTGGTATTCTTCATATCCTCGAGAGTGAATAATTTGTTCCACAAATTGCCTGACATTTCTGCATAAAAGTCTCGGGCTGCCAGCATCCTAAAGCCATATAAATGGGTACTATCCAGTGCATTTGATATGGACAGGGATAAACCATAGCTTGTATTCTTATCCTCCAATGGCTGCTCTTCCTCCTCCTCTCTCCAGAGCAATTGTGTAATATATTCCATAATCAGACTTTGTAGACAAATATCCTCTCCAATGTCCTGACATCGCAATTCAATAATTAGTGGCAATTGACGCTGCATAATTAGGCCATAAATCTCCCGGGCAATATTTAATTTAGCCAGAATTAGGGCATTTACCAGCCAACCTCGAAGGAATATTCTGGGTTCTACTATGACCACCTTAAGACCCTTAAATATATTTTCCATATATGGCCAGAAAAGCAAGGTAAATATCACAGTTGGCTTGAAAGCTTCAATTTGAGATCTATTGAATAAAGACCACATCTGCAGGATGGATTCAAGCAGACTCAAACGCACTATGGGAAATGGGAATCGTTGAAGGGTCAAGTTATGATGTGTTTTGAAATAGCAAATCCCAGATAGGCAGCCCAATAAGTGGTAGTATCCTTCGGCTGGCTTAACAAAGGATGCATATAACCAGCTGGTGGATATTGCTACTGACATTATCGTGAAGAGCAGTGAAAAATGTATGGGAAACTCATAGATAATCCTTTTCATTAGTGTCCCATTACATCTGGGATAGGCATAATGCATATGCCACAATACAAGACCATATCCTGCCATGCCAGCTCGTATTATAATCATCATTGTAGATGCATACAGTGAAAACAATGTCCAATCAAGGGTCTCAACTAGGGAGTCCAACGGTTTTCTCACCTGAAATAATTCAAAGCCGAGGAAAATTCCAAGCATCAGATAATCCAGCAAACATCCAAGTATAAATGCGAATACGAAGCGATATTGCAATAGCTTCTGTATCTTGTGCGGCACATTGCTGGGTCCGAACAGAGTCCTTAGTATATCCGACCACATAATTACAAACTCTTCAATATTTGTTTCTATATTTTTATGTATTAAGGTAACTGACAGTACGAATTTATGTACCATTGTGTCTGACTGTCATCGGGGTAAGGGGAGATTCTTAGCCTCCTTTGAGTCAGTTTACTGTCTCAATTGACATAGTTCCCAAGTCAGTTGGCCAGGACATCAATCTATTTAATGGCCTGCCGTTGACCCAACGCACGCCCCCCAGTGCAACTTTCGCCCACTTTTTGCAAAAGTTCAAAAGTTTTGATGCCAATTTAAAGTTTTTCTATTGAATACCCTAACCTAAATGCAGGGTGCTTTGGTAATGGATTTTGTGTTCGAAAAATTTAGAACAATTAAGGTTCCTACAAATTTTCCATTACTCTATGGGAATTTGTTTTCATAATTGTACCATTTCATTTCTTTTCTTTAAATTTCCCTTAAAATTTAGTAGAGCATTCAAAGCCTGGTTTTCTGCCGAAAAGAGTTTCCATTTTAGCCGTTTTTGTTACCGTTTTTTATGGCTTTACAGGTGACAAGTCAGCCAGGACTAAGTGCAGCTAAAAACAAAGTTGTTGCCGCTGCAGGCACAACATTGCATTTGCAATTGTGTGTGTGTGTTTTTTTTTTTTTTGTCTTTTTGTGTTTTAGTCACCTGAGAGCGGGGGATAACTAGAGGTGAAGCCCGGTTTTTCCCGATGCTCTCCTGCTCCCAGCTAAAGTTCTAATTTATGTCGTTAAGTTTGCGCCTGCGAAAGAAAAGTTTGCAGTCGCATTTAATGGTCAAGCTGCAGGCGCAATTTCTACAGGAGAGGGCCAGTGTGTGGAAAATTCAAACGGGAAACTGGACATGGACATGGAAATGGACATGGATATGGTCATGGTAGAGGAGGATGTTGGGTGTTGTTTTCCCCTCCATTTCGCTATTTGCCATTTTAGCCTGTGTGTGACCGCCTAACCCAAAAGCTGACCGGGAGTGGAGCGAGGCCCGGGGCCAATTAGATTTATGGGATTAGCACAGGTCGTTGGCAATAAAACACTCGCAGGCTTCCAGGGGGCAGAGAGAGTAACGTGAAAATCAGGAACATGAGGAGGATCCCCTAGAAAAACACATATGTATGTATGCTCGTATGATTTCTATTTCAACAGGAAAAAAGATCTATATTTAAATTGTATTAATATAGAATATCATATAAAATTATATATGAAATTTTAACATAATCATGATGCATTAAGTTATTTTTTTCTCTATATTACAACTATAAGGATTTTTGATCGTTTAATTCCAAGTTAGATCAATTTTGTATCGTTTTATCTTATTATTATGAAGAATTATGAACTAAAGTATTCAAAACGATCTTAAAACTAATTCTATTTACATATATAGTATATTTTTTTAATATATTGATCAATTTTATACTTCGTTTTAAGGAAAACTATTTCATTATTTAATTTCCTGTTTCCTAAATGATCATGTGACCCTTTTCTCGCCGTGCAACTCTGCAAACATTTGCATTTGTGTGTCCTGGCTCAGCTTCTCTCCATCTGGTGTCCTCTCTTTCACACTATGTAGTGCTCTCCCTTTCCACTTTCTGCTCCTGTAACTTCCCCTCTCTGTCTCTCTCGCGCGCGCTTACCTTCCAGTGCACATCCGGTGGGCAACAAAACATTGTTTCATTCCATAAACCGCCGACAACTTTTGCATCGTTCGCCGGTGGTTGTTTCGTTCTCGCACTTGGCGAGCTTTGTTCCGGTTTTCCCCATTCATTCTTCTTTTACAGGACTGGAGTCCTTGCGCCCACCTTCCGCCAGCCACGCCCCGTCGTCCTGGACGCCCGCCCGCCCTCGTCCTGATTCCCTTGCCATTGAGAGGCCGCGACGATGACGCGTGCTCCTGGCCCATTCCAAAAACCACGTACCGCCGCACACATTTCCGGACTCAGCCGGACGCTTTTCATACCCTTTCACTTAGGGAAAGTATTTTCATTTTAGGGAGAGGTTTCTTGGGGGCAGTAATATTTAAATTAATTATTAAATATTTAAATAATCATAAAATCTCGGTTATAAAACAGTTTATTAACTACTCTTCATTAGGAAAAGCTATTTTTATTTTCGGAAGATGTTTCTTGGAAAAAGTAATTGCGAAATGTTTCTTTAAAAGAAATATATATCTGGAGACAATGATTATATTTTATTAATGATAGAATCTCTGATATTTTTGAACTATATTCAAAAGTGGTAAAAGATTTCGGGAGAATTTTCAACTTTTTTTAACAAATTGAATCTTTAAATACATTAAAAAAAAACATTCTTAACTGAATTTGAAACGGGTAAACAAATTCTACGGAATTAATATCATTCTTCTAAGTAATTGATTACTTAATGGGGTCAAAAACTGTTATAATATTTATAAGTGATTAATACTTTTGCTAATTTTAAAAAACTTATAATAAATTTAGTTCAAAATTTTTTTGCATATATATTTTTTTTTTTAAATTTTTAACAATTGTGTGATATCCTTGAAAGGGTATTAAAAACTTTGCTTCCAAATTAACCTTCCTTTATTTTCCTCCTCTCTTGGGGAGGTTGCTGTTGCGTTTTCTGTTTCTGTTTGCTGTTGTTGTTTTTGGCTAGTTTTCGATTTTATCGATTTTCATAAAGCTGCTTTTATGGGCGGCATTCAGTGGCAGAAAGTTTTGTGCCTGCGTTACTCCAATTAGAGGCACAAAAACACATCCATAAAGCAGAAAAGCACACACACAGAGAAAAGAGAAGAGAAGAGGCTTGCGGAGATGAACAATTTGGCCGGTTGACCAGGTGAAGTGAACATTTCTGGCATTCCAATCGCATTTTCATTGACTTTGCTCCAGCTGCAACTGAGGGGATTTTTTTTTTTTTTTGGTATTTGCTTCATAAATTGAGTTTTTAGTCTCGGACCGCATGTACATATATCCCTTTGTCGATGCGTTCAACCGAAAAATAAATATTGCTGGATATGAATTCCTTTTATGATCGCGATTGGACCACATAACGAACTAATTTTGTGTATAAATTGTGGCTGGAAAAACGATTGAATTGCTCTTAACATGAAATATATGTGGTCTTAACTCTTGAATTATATAGGGATTTAAACATTTTCATAAAGTAAGAACATTATCGGTAATATTTCTCTTTATATAAATAGTTTACTCTAGAAATTTAAATATTTGATCACACATTTTACCTAGCATTCATTGATATATTACAATTTTCATAGAATAAATCCCTAAGAAATGATTCATTCATAAAAAATTGAGTTTCTAAGCACGTTTATAATTACTTTGCGTCAATTAAGTCACTCACTCGGTCAGTAGACCAAATTTTTAATGACTGTCACACACGTATCTATAAGAAACTGCAGCTGCAACTTAAGCTCGACCCAATTTGAGGGCTTAAGTTACTCATCCAAAAACTTATAGGATGACACTAAAATAAGTGCTCTGCTTCACCGACTTAATGAAAACTTTTTAATTACAAGGATCAGGACAATAAAAGTTTATGAGGCGAAAAGCTCTGACTCCATCTCTGTAATTTCTAGCAAATAAATACCAAAGCGTGGCAAAAACTAATAAAACTGAACTTAACTCTCAGCTGGCTTCCAACTATCGTTATATAGAAAAAAGAGGGGAAAAATCAAACAGACAAGAAAATCTAGTTGAAGTTGAACTATTTAATGTGTGCGGCAAAAACTTGGCTAATCCCTTCAAAACGAACAAATAAAAGAGGCGCCAATAAATACAGAAAGATGAGACTGTTGCGCTTATATTGGGTTTTTTGGCACAAAGTTTTGTAAATATTTTCAGAGCGGCCAAAGAGGGGCATTGGGAGGTACTTTTGGTTATTCCCGGTGACAGGCTAGCGAAATGGCAAATCGATTTCCAAATGCAACCCCTCAGTTGCCTGCAGGGGCTAATATTCAAATGAAATTCCCGTGCATTGAACCCAAATCAGGAGTACAAGGTGTGAATTTGCCTGCCATCCAAGGAGCAGAGGAGCTGTGGAGGAAGCACAGGACCTTTGGTGCTGTGGCAGGATGTGAATTGGTTGGCAGGAAACAGCTTCGAGCCAGCAGCCAGATAAATATAAACACGAAAGTGGAGCAGGCAAAGCTGTAGCCGCAATAACTGTCTTGGGAGATACAATTCCCCTAAAGCAAACCGAGTTCACACTGACATCGAAGAGTTTTCCTATATTTAATGGAATCTTTCTTTAAATTCTAATTACAAAAATAATTGAAAACAAGGAGTACAATGAAAATTTTGTTGCATAAAAATGTTTGTTTAATATTTACCATTTAAGAAATATATTTTTAAATATTGTATAGAAGGGATTATTTAGACGCTTTTCTTGTAGGGATCAAGCTCCTTACTTAAGAGTCTATTTGTACGATAGTATCCCAAAATCAAGACTTGAGAATTTCTAGGCACCAAATCACAGTTTTTTGTATATTTGTATTTGTATATTGATATTAAAAAGATTTCAATAGCAAAACAAATGTATTTTGAGATATTCGTATATTTATTCCTCAATAACATATAATTTGTTTCGAATTTAAGTTAATATATATTTTTAGAAATATAAAAGATATAATTAGGATGTTTAAATTAGTTAGTAAACATTTTCTGATTGAATATCTTGTATTCCAGTGTAGTTTGCAAAAAGGGGTCGTTGAAGCAAAGTGTGGCTCCCGAGGAGATTCGATGCAAAGGCATTTCCAGGATGGCAGCAAATAAAGCAAATGCTCGGGATGCTTGCAACCCTTCACCCAACCAGTTTTCCTTCCACTCTCTTCCTGGTAATTCCCCAAACGCTCGGGAAACTTGACAACTTCACATTTCTGGGAGGTCTTAGACCAACTCACACAAACACCACCCACACACACACACATGCTTTCACTCAGATTCCGCACTGAAAACCTTCAAATGAAATTAAAAAGTTTAACTTTTAACTTTTGAAAAGAGAGGAGCAGAGTGCAAAAATACCTTCTGTGCGTTAGACAACCCCTAACTTACA